TTGAATGCCAGTCACGTACGCGAAATCAATAAAATTTGTATGAGCTCGACGGTAAAAATTTGATATCTTTTGATCCAAGTGTCGTATTAACAAAAATCAAGATGCGTTTTAAAAGGTAAAGAGTGCAGCTTATGCATACAAAAGTATTGTTTTTGTATTTTGTCGCAAATAAACTCAGTTTTTATAGATGTAAAATAAATAAACGTGGCACGATTTTTGTCACATTTTATGATTCTCATGAGATCAATACAATTAATATCTTTTATTTACTGGCCACTATTGCACCCTGTGTAACGTTAAATGAACCAGCAACAATAGAACCGCCTGACTAGTCTCTCGTAGATCTCCTGGCGAACACATTGCAATGAACAACAGCACACAACAAACAAATAATGGCTGTTGTCAGAGCCAGTTGACAATCGGACCAACAATTCGAGTATGCCAAATAAATATTGAAGGCATCAGCCGAAGCAAGAGCAAATATCTTAGCAAGCTACTGGCAAAAAACAAAATTTACGTGGTTACGGTTCAAGAAACACATACTGCAGACGACCTACAATTAAAAAACCGTGTCCAAATCCCTAAATACACATTAATAACTTTAATCAACTAATCAACATCAAACATTACAGCACATGTCACTCTTTCTCGACACAAGAGATTTTTATACTTGCTGTGAAAGTAGACGAAATAACTATGGTCAATATATACAAACCACCAAATGCTGAATCTCGATCTTTTAGATATGTTCAACAAAGTATATACAACAGGAGTAATACCCCAAGATTGGTTGCTGTCCACGTTTGTAACATTACCAAAGTCAGTACATGCGACAGAATGCTCCCAGTACAGAACAATTTCCTTAATAAGCCACACACTTAAGATATTTCTTAAAATAATACATGGAAGAATATACAAAAAAAGAAGAAAATATAGATGACACCCAGTTTGGATTCAGAGGAGGACTGGGAACGAGAGAGGCTTGGTTCGCTTTTAACGTTCTCGCGCAAAGACGACTAGATATGAACCAGGATCTCTATGTCTGCTTTATAGATTATCAAAAGCTTTTGATAGGTACGACATCAGAAACTTGTAAAACTGTTAAAAGAAAAGAATGTGGATAGTCGAGATATACGGGTTATTGTCAATCTGTACTGGAATTAAAAAGCAAAGGTTAGAATAGAAAATGTCGATACAGAAACAATAGAAATCAAAAGAGATGTTAAACAGGGTTGCGTGCTGTCCCATTGTTATTCAATCTGCACAGCGAAGCTAGTTTTAAGGAAGCAATATCAGAGGAACAACAGGGTATATCAATAAACGGAAAAATCCTAAACAACATAATATTTGCAGATGACACCGCTGTTTTTGCAGACAGTTTAGAAGCATTGCAAGGCTTAGTAAATAGATAACATCAAGTCAGTATCAAATATGGACTACAAATGAACGTTATGAAAACCAAGTTCATGATTATTTCTCAGCAACATACAGTAGGTAGGCTAGGAACGAGGGAAAACAAGTAGAAAGAGTGAATACCTACAAATATCTGGGAACCTAGGTAAATGAAAACAAGATTGACAACATTGAAAATGCAAGACAAGCATTTATAAAAATGAAAATAATGTTTGTCAATCGAGACCTTTTCTGGATCTGAGGATAAGAGCCTTAAGATGCTACGTGTTCTCGACTTTGTTGTATGGAATGGAAAGCTGGACACTAAAAGTGGTGCTATAAATGGATATTGAAAATACCATGGACCCAACGAGTTACAAATGCATAAGTGTTAAGAAGGCTACAAAAGGATTGCGAGGTCATAAAGCACATCAAAACAAGAAAGCGCTGGAATATTAAGGCCACATTACCAGAGGTGCGAAATATGAGATATTAAGGCTAGTAATGCAAGGTAAAATCAGAAGAATTCCTGGCTGAGAAACATAAGAGAATCTTATAGTTGCAGCTCAGTAGATTTTTTAGTGCAGCCGCCAATAAGGTACGGATCTCTGTGATGATAGCCAACCTCCGATAGGAGACGCAACTACAACAAAAAAAAGAAGAATACTGAATGGTCACAAAACGTACTTCCTACATTTTCTTTTTAGACTTTAACAGCCACCATACTACATGGGGATATAACCAATGTAAGAAACAGGGAGAACAAATCGCCGAATGGGCTGAGTTTCACTATCTCAGACTTTTATACGATACAAAACAGAAACCTACCTTTCATTCTGCAAGATGACAAAATGGCTACAATCCCTATCTCAGGTTTATATCTTTCAGCGAAAGGGGTTCAAAAAACGACTTTAAGAACGCCACAAGGGAAGTTCTTGTATAACTTTCCTAGATCCCAACATAGACAATAATTACAACATTGGACACCACCATCCCTATTAGAAATTCAATTCCTTTGCCAAGATGGAATTTCCGGAAGGCAAGGTGGGAAGACTTGAAACTTGAAAGTGATGTAAAACAATCAAAATTATGAAAGATTTGCATCACTAATGATGAGCTGTGCAAAAAAGCACATCCCACGTAGTTGCCAATACTACATCCCATGTGGAACGACGAATGTTAGAACTACTTAATCAGTATGAGAAATTTGGAGATCCTGAAGTTAGCGAATTACTTTTAGAAACCCTAAACCCCGCAAGGACGACAAGGTAGAGGGAAACTTTAGGAAATCTAAATTTCACACACAGTAGCCGCACCGCATGGAACTTTCTAAGAAAACTAGACTCTTAATATGTTCTTAAAGCTATTTTCTTGTGGCATTTAAATTAATTACTATTTAACTGGGAATAAGCCACAATTAAAGGTAAAAATACGTTTATTGACGTTTCAATTTCCGCTTCGGAAATCGTTCTGAAAATACAAACAGTAAATTTTACTGTTTGTATTTTTGAGTATCCCGTTTTTTCTACGGCGTATATATTCTTTGTAAATCGATTTTTTTGCGTTTTTACCCCCCTAAGAGAGTGGTTTTAGAAGAAACTCGAGAGTAAAAGTAGTAAACTTTTTTGTATCTTTTGTGTCTGTAAAGTCAGCTTGTTCTTATGATTTTTAGGGGTCACCTCTCTGACTACTGACTATTACTAATACATCCAATAAGTTTAGATATATTTAAATTGGATAATATTTTTGATTAAAAAATGTTATTTGAATGTATTTTAAATATTTTTCGAATGAGAGACGAAAAAAATCATTCAAATATTCTTAACTCAGTTTGTTTCATTCTCATTCTAAAATTTTCGGACTAAGGTCAAAATACCAAAAATAATGGATTTGCTTTGCAATTTGTGTTTTATTTTTAAAAATTTTATTAAAATTTTAATAAAACTACGTGATAAAATGGTTGCTGATATAAGTACATTATTCATGAATGTTAGGCAAATATTAGGGGAATATTATGTCTTCTACTCACCATTAGTAATGAGTTTTTATTAAAATGGAAAACACACTTATTTGTAGTCTATTTTATTTTATCCATTTGTTGCCATTATATGACTGACTATTAAAGTCCTCTGTACCACTTAAATTATTGTTTGTTTTGTCATATACTCATTGATTAACATAAACTATATACATAGTTAGGGCTTAGTTTCTTGGGGACCTGAAGATACTGTAAAAATTTATAAACAGATTGGTAGACCAATCATTTTCAATTTTAATAAAAAGCTATTACGGATTGTGAGTAGAACACTTATTTCCCTAACATTCATTTTAATGAAATAGTTTAATAAAAAAAATTTAAGGAAATTATGTTTTTATCACGGTACACAGTATTAAAAATTTTTATATACTAAAATTAAAAAAAACTTCTTTTAATTTAGAATTTACACAAAGTTTACTAGATTAAGATAATTTTTAGTTAAAGCAACACAAAACCGTGTGACATGTTCAACTTGTCTCTGTTTGTAAATTAAACTTGTACATGAAGATATTTGTAGAAACTTACTATTGTTATTTATGTTGAAATAAAAGAAACAAATAAAAGCAACTGACATTTATTGATGTAATATATGGTGATAATTTAGAAATTATTTTACAAAAGAAGAGAAAGAAAGAAAGAAAATAAAAAGAAAATGGTGTACTGTCAGCCACATAAACACTAAACTATTTAATGACCGTGGGTATCAGGGATCCATTGACCTCCCAAAGCACCTTCCAAAGCTCCTCTTGATCCAGCTAAACCATGTCCAAGACCAAGACCGAGTCCAAGAGGTCCTACAGGTCCAAGACCAAGACCAAGACCAAGAGGACCACCGAGTACACCACGGCCGATGAGTCCGGGAGCACCAAGTACACCAGGGACACCGTGGCCTACTGGTACATCAGGGATCCATTGTCCTCCAAGGGCACCTTCGAGGGCACCTCTGGCACTTGGTCCAGCTGCTACTACTCCGGGGGCGATGATACCTGCACCATGTCCGGCAACTGGGACATCAGGAATCCATTGGCCTCCTAGTGCGCCTTCGAGGGCTCCTTTGTCGGCAACGAGACCGGCTCCAAGGAGACCTGAAGCGCTGGCGGCAGCGACTGCTACAAAAAGTACAGCTACAGACTGAAAAACAAAAATAAGTTATTAAACACCTGTATTTAGTATAATATTTATTTTAATTTAAAATAATACAGAAAATAATTACTTTACTAATGAAATGAAAATAAAAATGAAAAACAAAAAAGAAATAAAAAATCAATAAATTTTAATCTTAGTTAAGTTTACAAAATTTTAAGTAAACTAAATAAAAGAAGATATAAAAATGTAAATAGAAAGAAAGTGACATACAAAAAGAATTATGAAAAATTGTTTAAATACAAAAAGAGTCTCTATAAAACACAAATAAATTTTGAAAAAATTATTTTATATTTATATAAGCTTACTAAAGTGAATGAATTAAAATAAAAAGTAAAAACACGAAAAGTAAAAAGGGAAAATTAGTTTTTCCATATATACTACTACATATAAAACATAATAGGTGATATTGAAATGAAATACTTACCAATGGGTTCATGTTGTTTTAATGTGTTGATACCGGAGAAGTGATACAAATATCTGCTATTACTTCGTATTTTATATAGTGACCGATAACCTTGTCCACACCCAAATAGGACACTAACAGTTATTCACTTTCCGCATGTATGCACATAGGGAGAGTTAGATATGGTAAAAAAATCAAAAAACTGAAAGATTGGCGTTAAGTTTGTACAAAATTGCATCAGTATCTTAGGTCAAGAGTTTCGGCTACGGAACAAAACCGACCTGTTTTCGATCAATTGTATGTATGTTAGACTTATAATGTATAACTTATTATACAAGGTTGGCAAGGATTTTAGTAAGTCTATAAATTTTAGCTAAAAATGTAATGTTTTACAAAATACATTAAAATTTTAAATTTAATAAACGATTCAATTCAAATTGAAGTATTGTGTCAGAAAGTATAACATATATAAGTAAATTGTGCTGTTTGTGAACTTTATGCAATAATTTTATACAAGTTTACAAAACAATTCAACAATTACTGTGTTTGCTAAAAATGATGTATTTGTTTTAATTATGATTGCACGAAACTGCTTCGTTATGCGCCTTTATACTAACGATGTTTTAATAAATATCTTGACATCGAAAAAAATTATAATTAGCCTTGGCAGTGAAATCACACTTTCGTCGGTTTTTTATTAGTCATCAAAATGAATTATTCTTCTTCTAATAGCGCTAAAACCCTTTGTGGTTCTTGGCCTGCTAAACCTTCGTTGCTAACCTACGGTTTCTGAGACGAAAACCGCTCAAACGATCAAATTGAAAAAAACAATATTTCTAATGTCACAAATAAAAATCCTTATTATATTAAAGATTCCAATGACCTTATTTCTTAAAATTAAAATATTCACGTGCCAAAAGATTATAAATTAATATCTTTAGATGTCATTTTAATATATACAAACATCCCAATAAAAGTTGCTACTGACATCCTATTGCAAGAATTCCAATTATCCATAGAGATAACATTAAACTCAACATACTTTTTATTATATAAGGACGAAATATACCAGTAAATGGATAGATGTGCAATGGGCGCAAGTTCTGCTAGTGTCATTGCTCAACTGATTCTAAAAGATTTAGAAAAATCTGTCATAAGTCACTTAGATTTTAATGTACCATTTCTGTACCACTATATCTATGACTGTATCTGTGCTATTCCAACAAATAAAATGAACTAAGTTTAAAATAATTTTAACAGTTACCATCTAAAACTAAAGTTTACTATAGAAATTAAATAGAATAATAAAATTTTTTGGATATCACTTTACATCGCATTAATACACAGTTAAAACTATGTGGAAAAGAAACATGGTCTTCGTAGAAAGCATTCTACGAACAATTGCAACCATCCTGTATGAAGTACCTCATGATAAGACCTTAATTCTTATGGGTGATAGGTAAAGAAATAATAAATATGATTTACTTACGATCAATTTAATTTAACTATTCAGACGACCGGTTTCGCTTTCTACAATATGCAAAGCATCTTCAGGTCTCGATACAAAGTTAAGTAAATGCTGAAATAATAATAAATCCATATTAGGGTGTTGTCTAATAAAGATAAACAAAGTAGTATGTTTATCTTATTACAATAATAAAGATAAACAAAGTATAAATACAATATATGCCAATATTATATGTCTGTGGTATTTCAAAATGAATAAAAAGGAATAAAAAGGTATAAAAACTTTTAACAGACAAGGTAAGACCCACAAATTGTTATAAAATAGTCTATTAGATTGTAATAAATTAATAAATGAGCAAATAAATAAAACATTACTTACATGCCGGTACTCTATTAATTGATGGATGGTAGAACATGGTTGATGATAATTTAAACCATGATAGTTTGTTTATAGTAGTAGTTTATGCATGATAGTTTAAATTATGTTCTAAAGGTTGTCTATTTTTCGGCCATTAATTGAGATACCCTTTTCTTATCCTTCAAGCGCTTAATGCCGTCAAGTAGTAGGTATACTTATATATAAAATATACAATAATTCAATTACGTCTGCAGTATTGGCAACCTATATATAGTGATACATATTTTTGAGTAAGGTCTCAAGATGTTTTTTTATAGTTTATCATTTTAATTTAATAATATACTTTGGACCAGATATTAAAACAAATAAACTAAATCTGATTGGGTTAACGTATCAAGTCAAAAACGTGACAGCAAATAAGAGAAAATCAACCTAGGTACAAGTTATTATGCAACATACAAGGACAACAAGTAGTTGGATATGAAGTAAATAAAAATGTAATCCATAACAAGAAGCTACTGGAAAAATTTTTGACATGGAACACAATGTCCACGGAGGACGAGACGATGAAAAGCTTGCAAAAATTACAGGATCTGAAAAACCCAACACATCGAGACTATCTCGGAGACTTACAAAACGATGGTATGACAACTGGACATCGGAGTCTCAAGACTTAGATCGCAATAGTTTCAAAATCTAGTCAATGAATATACTAAAATGAAAAAAAAAAACACTAGTCAATGAATACACAAGGTTCACCAAAATATCGAATAAATGGTAACTACATCTTAAAAAATTCGATCTGTGCGGTATGTATTATTCGCCAGATAGTGCAAAAGGCAACAAAATTCAACAATACTGCTTATATGTGTTTTGTGGACCTAAAAAAGATGTTTGACAAAGGAATAAGACAGGTAAACAGCTTTAGTCCAAATCTCTTCAATTTGATGGGCAACAATAAATAATAATATGATCAGGTAACAAAAAAAGTTAAATTAGCAGAGAGAATCTACTATAAAGCCACAGTCACATGGGATTAACAGAGAATATAAGAGATATTATAATTGTAGCAGTCAAGGAACCACAGTATTGAGCAAGTTATGAATTTCAAATATTTAGGACTCAACATTACTAGTAGCAGAATTCTTTAGGAGAAAGTCAAAAGAAGATAACAGAGCAGCAATGATAGATGAATGCCTACGTGACATCATCTGGGGTAACAAGCTCATGATCATAGAAAATGCAGTAAGAATAAATAGGACTAGCGCAAGATTAGCAATATTCTATATAAGCATGACCAAAACAGCAACAGCTTCAATTAAGAAGCTCCTAAGCACAACTGACATGCTATCGCTGAGATTTTTTGTTGGTTACACTTTTAGGGGTCCAAAAAGGAATGCGTTTATAAGAGAATAAGGCGGCTTCTGGATCCCTAAATATAGCAAGATGGGCTAGACAGAGATGCAGGGAGTAAAAAGACCACACCAGTAGAATGGACGATGAGAAGGTCGCAAAAATTGCAAGATCTGAAAAACCCAATACATCGAGACTACCTGGGAGACCTCCAAAACGATGGTATGAGAACTGGATATTGGAGTACTGAGACTTAGTTTCAAGAATGAAGAGAACTTAGTCTTAAATTAAGAAGAAGGAGAAGAAGAAGAGAATTTAAATTTTAATATGTAAATTTAAGATATTTACACCTGTATATTATTTGCCTGGATATATAGTATGATTTACATTTACGGGTGATGGTTCGATAGGTCCGAAAATGTTTCAATAAAATAATATTTACTTTGATATTTTGATATATATATATATATATATATATATTATATATATATATATTTATATATATATATATATATTTATATATATTATATATATATATATATTATATATATATATATTATATATATATATATTATTATATATATATATATATATTAATATATATATATATATATATATATATATATATTATATATATATATATATTTACGGCATAAAGTGAACTCCGCCCATGTTAAAATTCAGGTTCAAGTGAGCTCTGTGGTCAAGTGGAGACCAATATACGGAGCTCACTTGACCATTCCATAATATTGGCTCTGTTGATTCGTTAAGATGTATAGTTTCATAATTCTTAATAAAATTTTGGAGCTCATAAGTACCCCTGTATCATAAATGTATTTCGCTTAGTTCACGTGTATATATTATAGGGGTCGTTCAGATCTTTTTCACTGTATATTGGAACCATAAGAATATCGGTTTAAGTAAGCTCTGATAGTTTGGCAACTATGCAATTAAGCCGTAGAGCTCCAGCGTTCTTGATATATACATTTTATATATTTTAAACGGTTTATACGGACTCCTGATTTTTTTATCATTCATACACATTGCAATATGTAATAGATATGTATACTACCAAATACCTGTTTTTGGTAGGTACATGCTGTTCTAAAAATAGCTTTATAAAAACAAAAGGATTTCATTACCAAATTGGATGTGTTTTTCATATTATGCTGAAATTTCCTAATGTATTTTTTTAACATGAGTATGTCTTTGTACGATTTATTTAAGGATAGGATTAATAAGAATGTCTTTTATTTCATCCATTGTTTTACGATATCTTGTATACAGCTTCTTTATTATTTTATTTATGATTTTATCTGTGTACTACATATTATTATAATTCTGGATGGGTTATCTTAAAATAAATATTTAAGTGCTAAAAGTGATATTTTTATGTAAAAATGGGTAGTAGTGCACAAAAAAGGGAAGAATGCTTAATTTATCTAACAAGAATATACCACTTCACCGATATTACATACTTCTGAATGTTTTATCTTTTATTTAGGGGTAATGTAATCAATATAAGTGGAGTTAGTGTCAAATTTACAATAATCTTTATAAGCAATAGCTTACTGACTGTACTTTATATGTTCAATTCAATTAATTAAACCTTGTCACTTCAGAAAAGAGCGATTTGAATGGCAAAGTCAAATAAGAAGGTGTGATAAATCTTGTACTGCCTACATTCGCACAGGTTAACCGGTATTTACTGGCAAGAGTCCTTCTCGCAGATTTTACGAAGATAACTACCATAAGGAAATTCCTCTCGAGGGTTCAGATGGCGAGGAGCAGCTTATCTTTTTTTTTATTTCATGCAATGTGTATATGTGTTGATCTGGTCAGTGTTTTCTCGATTTTAGTCATAAATTGGTCTGGTATTCGTTTGAGTGGATGTTGCGATTCTAGACTTTGTATCTTTTATTCTATAGATACTTATCTTCGGATATTAGGTGAATTGATAGCTGAGATATTGTAGAGCTTATGTATGAATGTGTGTGTCTTAATATCCGCTTAATTTGGCTGACTAATTTATAGCTAAATCTACGTGTTAAGTATGTGTTGGTATCATCTATACTTACAAGGTATATTCGGCAGCAGAAGCATAGAGTGCAAGCGTCTACGTTTTAAGGATGGAAGGAT